CTCCCACCACACGTCCAACAATACCGCAATCTTCTATCCAGTTGTTCTCCACAGTGTCTCCTCCCACCACACGTCCAACAATACCGCTATCTTCTATCCAGTTGTTCTCCAGTGTCTACTCCCACCACACGTCCAACAATACCGGCTATCTCTTATCCAGTTGTTCTCCACAGTGTCTCCTCCCACCACACGTCCAACAATACCGCTATCTTCTATCCAGTTGTTCTCCAGTGTCTCCTCCCACCACACGTCCAACAATACCGCTATCTTCTATCCAGTTGTTCTCCAGCGTCTCCTCCCACCACATGTCCAACAATACCGCTATCTTCTATCCAGTTGTTCTCCAGTGTCTCCTCCCACCACACGTCCAACAATACCGCTATCTTCTATCCAGTTGTTCTCCACAGCGTCTCCTCCCACCACACGTCCAACAATACCGCTATCTTCTATCCAGTTGTTCTCCACAGTGTCTCCTCCTACCACACGTCCAACAATACCGCTATCTTCTATCAAGTTGTTCTCCAGTGTCTCCTCCCACCGAACGTCCAACAATACCGCTATCTTCTATCCAGTTGTTCTCCACAGCGTCTCCCCCACCACACGTCCAACAATACCGCTATCTTCTATCCAGTTGTTCTCCACAGTGTCTCCTCCCACCACACGTCCAACAATACCGCTATCTTCTATCCAGTTGTTCTCCACAGTGTCTCCTCCCACCACACGTCCAACAATACCGCTATCTTCTATCCAGTTGTTCTCCACAGCGTCTCGTCCCACCACACGTCCAACAATACCGCTATCTTCTATCCAGTTGTTCTCCAGTGTCTCCTCCCACCACACGTCCAACAATACCGCTATCTTCTATCCAGTTGTTCTCCACAGCGTCTCCTCCCACCACACGTCCAACAATACCGCTATCTTCTATCCAGTTGTTCTCCAGTGTCTCCTCCCACCACACGTCCAACAATACCGCTATCTTCTATCCAGTTGTTCTCCAGTGTCTCCTCCCACCACACGTCCAACAATACCGCTATCTTCTGTCCAGTTGTTCTCCAGTGTCTCCTCCCACCACACGTCCAACAATACCGCTATCTTCTATCCAGTTGTTCTCCAGTGTCTCCTCCCACCACACGTCCAACAATACCGCTATCTTCTATCCAGTTGTTCTCCACAGCGTCTCCTCCCACCACACGCCCAACAATACCGCTATCTTCTATCCAGTTGTTCTCCACAGCGTCTCCACTCACCAAACGCCTAACAATACCGGCTATCTCTTATCCAATTGTTCTCCACAGTGTCTCCTCCCACCACACCTCTAACAATACCGCTATCTTCTATCCAGTTGTTCTCTACAGCGTCTCCTCCCACCACACGTCCAACAATACCGCTATCTTCTATCCAGTTGTTCTCCACAGCGTCTCCACTCACCAAACGTCCAACAATACCGCTATCTCTTATCCAGTTGTTCTCCACAGTGTCTCCTCATACCACACGTCCAACAATACCGCTATCTTCTATCCAGTTGTTCTCCACAGCGTCTCCTCCCACCACACGCCCAACAATACCGCTATCTTCTATCCAGTTGTTCTCCACAGCGTCTCCACTCACCAAACGCCCAACAATACCGGCTATCTCTTATCCAGTTGTTCTCCACAGTATCTCCTCCCACCACACCTCTAACAATACCGCTATCTTCTATCCAGTTGTTCTCTACAGCGTCTCCTCCCACCACACGCCCAACAATACCGCTATCTTCTATCCAGTTGTTCTCCACAGCGTCTCCACTCACCAAACGTCCAACAATACCGCTATCTCTTATCCAGTTGTTCTCCACAGTGTCTCCTACCACCACACGTCCAACAATACCGCTATCTTCTATCCAGTTGTTCTCCACAGCGTCTCCACTCACCAAACGTCCAACAATACCGGCTATCTCTTATCCAGTTGTTCTCCACAGCGTCTCCTCCCACCACACGTCCTACAATACCGCATTCTTCTATCCAGTTGTTCTCCACTCACCAAACGTCCAACAATACCGGCTATCTCTTATCCAGTTGTTCTCCACTGCGTCTCCTCTTACCACACATCTAACAATACCGGCTTCTCACCACACATCTAACAATACCGGCCTCTCACCACACATCTAACAATACCGGCCTCTCACCACACATCTAACAATACCGGCCTCTCACCACACATCTAACAATACCGGCCTCTCACCACACATCTAACAATACCGGCCTCTCACCACACATCAAACAATACAGACTATCTTTTTTTCAAACCTGAGTAGGATCTTCTATCACCTGTCTCTCCTAGGCAACCCCTGTTAGCATGATTATGTAAATAATCTTCAACCTTCGTCTTAGAAACTCATCTCTGTTCTGTTGCTTCCAAGTTCTTCAATTTTGTAACACATTACTGAACATAAAATAAATTGTTCCACACTGTATACCCACAAAAGCACTACACTAGAATAAAGTAAATGCCTCTGCCACAGACAATATTTATTAGTCCACACACAATCACAGTAGCTGACCCAAAAAACATCAGCCGCCACCGATTGGACCATCCAGTGAATCTAATAATGATGGAACAATGAACCGTAGACTACACTTTAAAAAAAGGTTTGCATACTGTAAATTATATATTACATAGATCGTAACAGACAAACCAGTTTTGCATAAATTAAATGTACAATAACAGCGGATGGCATCATTCAGGGACAAGTACAGAAGTTTAAGTATCCAGGCACCAGAGTAAAATTAGCTAGAAGATGCATCACCAAGATCAAGAATGGATAGACAAAAACTCTACTGGACAAAATGACAAACACTTTTTTTTTATATATATATACAAAAAGTCCCTGTAATAAGGTGTTAGAAAAACAATTATGATATAATATATACATATAAAACAAGCTTTGGCACATGGCCATAAACCTTGGACAATTAATAAACAAACCAAGACAGTGCTTACTTGAAGCTCACAGATGTGGTTGTGCTGAGGAATTCTCACAATTCTGTGGACAGCTACAGTTTGTAATCAAGATGGTCTGAAAGAGGCTACTAGCCACAGACAACTTGTCACAAACATCAGAAAGAGGCCGTCATTAATTCTGGCCACAGTACAAGAAAACAAACTGGAACATGCAGCAACTAGTGGGCAGATTTATGGAAAGAGGGGTAGAGTAAGACAACATGGGGAGATTAATGAAAAGATGGGTAGGATAAGACAAGGTGGGATAATTTATGGTAAGATGGGTAGAGTAAGACAACGTGGGCAGATTTATGGAAAGAGGGGTAGAGTAAGACAACATGGGGAGATTAATGAAAAGATGGGTAGGATAAGACAACATGGGGAGATTAATGAAAAGATGGGTAGGATAAGACAACATGGGGAGATTAATGAAAAGATGGGTAGGATAAGACAACATGGGGAGATTAATGAAAAGATGGGTAGGATAAGACAACATGGGGAGATTAATGAAAAGATGGGTAGGATAAGACAAGGTGGGATAATTTATGGTAAGATGGGTAGAGTAAGACAACGTGGGCAGATTTATGGAAAGAGGGGTAGAGTAAGACAACGTGGGATAATTTATGGTAAGATGGGTAGAGTAAGACAACGTGGGCAGATTTATGGAAAGAGGGGTAGAGTAAGACAACGTGGGCAGATTTATGGAAAGAGGGGTAGAGTAAGACAACGTGGGGAGATTCTTGACAACATTCTGTCATTGCCCTGAAGGGTATCAGTACACTTTCCTGTACATAGAGATTGCAAGATCTGGAAAAACTTCATGGCCCACCACAGTTGGTAGAGCACCTGATGATGATAATATACAGAACAGTACATTCAACCAAGCGATTATTGCCTACACAGTCCAGCTTCAATGAGGCAGTAGAACATATTTATCAGAAATTAAATGTGTGTTACAAACTTCACATATGAAACCCCCACATACAAAACAAACACTAGCCAACATCTAACATATGTTCGACAAACAACACATGCTACCCCACCCCCATAAAATGTACTCCCTTACCAACAGTACCTACTACTCCATATTGCATTCACAAGATACATGTTACCACACTCAACATACCTCCTGTGTGCTACCAGGGTAACAAAGGGGAATACTAACAAAGTCATCTACCATACATGTCATAAGAGTCAGTAAAGAGGGTTGGCCTCATGCTGGTTTACTAATCCTAAAGCTACAAAATCCAATAAATCTGGAAACATCTACAAAGGGCCCTTGTGTGACTTAGCTGCAAGTATTCGCTACAGTGGGAGATGACATGAAGAAGACACTGCACATACTACCACACAGACAGTAAATGTTCCACACTCAATGTGTATCCCCCCCCCCCCCCCCACAACAACCAGCACATACTACCATACTGTAGCATATATTAATGTTCCACACACATTTAGCTCAACAAACAACACACAATGGCACAACAAACACCACACACAGGTTACTTCACAAATACACAATATGTGGCTCTACAAACATCAAATGTTCACTCTACAAACCCATACACACTAGTTTTCCAAACAGCAAATATTTGCTCCACAAACCTACTCACACACTAGTTCTACAAAAAGCACACATTAGCTGCACAAACACACGCACACATTAGTTCTACACACAGAATGCATTAATCCACATTGTGGAAACAAATTCAACAAATATCCAGGGACAACTTTTTGTGTGTGGAAGAAGTATTTACAGACATAAATAAATAAATAGCTGACAATATTTACTAGTCAATATGTCCAGGACAGCTCAAGTACATGGTACACACTATACAGCAGCGTGTGTCTACATGGTACACACTACACAGCAGCATGTGTCTACATGGTACATGCTACACAGCAGTGTGACAACATGGTACACACTTCACAGCAGCAAGTGTCTACACGGCACATGCTACACAGTAGCATGTGTCTACATGGTACACACTACACAGCAGCATGTGTCTACACGGTACAAGCTACACAGACGACTCATACAGCACAGCTTTAGTCTGGGAAGTCAGTGTCACCTCGTAAAGTCCCTCTCGGATCAGGAAACGGCTGGCGTCACGGCGACCTCTCTCAAAGTATTCCTGCAGCATCTGACGTTTGGGAGGAAAGAAAGCATGGACGCCTTTCTTGATATTATTCAAATTCACCTGTAATATCAATGTGCTGTTTGTAGTTTGTGTATGTATGTATGTATGTATGCATATGTATGTATATATGTATGTATGTATGTATGTATGTATGTATGTATGTATGTATGTATGTATGTATGTATGTATGTATGTATGTATGTATGTATGTATGTATGTATGCATGCATATGTATGTATGTATGCATGCATATGTATGTATGTATGCATGCATATGTATGCATGCATATGTATGTATGTATGTATGTATGTATGTATGTATGTATGTATGTATGTATGTATGTATGTATGTATGTATGTATGTATGCATGCATATGTATGTATGTATATATGTATGTATGCATGCATATGTATGTATGCATATGTATGTATGCGTATGTATGTATGTATGTATGTATGTATGTATGTATGTATGTATGTATGTATGTATGCATGCATGCATGCATGCATGCATGCATGCATGCATATGTATGTATGTATGCATGCATATGTATGTATGCGTATGTATGTATGTGCGTATGTATGTATGTATGTATGTATGTATGTATGTATGTATGTATGTATGTATGTATGTATGTATGTATGTATGTATGTATGTATGTATGTATGTATGTATGTATGCATGCATATGTATGTATGTATGCATGCATATGTATGTATGCGTATGTATGTATGTATGTATGTATGTATGTATGTATGTATGTATGTATGTATGTATGTATGTGTGCGTGTGTGTTATCAACATTATAAGAGTTAACTTGATTTCATTTGACTGTAAACTTGAGAGATATAATCTACTCATTTCTGATTTCTGCCCGTGTGGGTTCCAGGGCCCCATTGTGCGGAAAACAAGAACAGATTGACTGTCTCCCCATCACGCATGTCACAGGAGTCAACTAAATGGGGGTATCCTTTGAAGTTGCAGCACATCTGCCTGAGAGTCAAAGAACCAAAAGTCTGCATATAAATAAGCCAGATCTGTTATACGGATGTGCATGTAACACTCAGCTGTTGGAACAAGATTAAGTACAAAGGTGGAAGCACAACCAGAGCTTTTTATTGGAGTTTAGGGCCGGGGAAGAAGAACAAGATTCCTTCTGTTCACCTTTTTTCACCTTCATCATATATTTTTAGGACTGTATGTAATTGTGTTGTGTCTGCTTACAGCACAGCTGCAATATTTGTGTCTGTTTTATTTATGCAGTGTTTTTTTACCTTTTTTTTTTTTCTGCAGCGTAAAGTAAGGACGGGGAAAGAAAAGGGGGGGGGGGGGGGGGGGGGGGGGGGGGGGGGGGGGGGGGAAAGGGTATAATAGCTAAGACATTCACAAGTCAAGTTGTAAATGACATTAATGTGAAACTGTTAACATGTTATAGTAAATACAATAGTATATACAAAAGGTGATAGTACTGGCTGGTGGTAAGAGGGGGGAGGGGGGGGAGGAGGGGGACAAAGATTCAAGAGAAAATAAGGAAATGACAGCAGGTCTGTCTCAGAATTTGGAAAGATTAAATCCTTCAAAGAAACAGGAAGACAAGAAATATCATAAATCATCATTATGATAAGATCCCAAACATTTCACAGACTATGTATGTGTATCTGGTATGTATGAACCTGGCATCTAGAATTATCTACCCCTGGACCGGAGTTTGACCTCTTCATGTACATTACCATTTTTAGCTGTAAAAGGTCAAGGTCAAGTACGGAGATGTCACCTGCATCATTGCAAACAGTTATAAACCATAAGTGCTTTGCCACCCACACCAACAGCTGATAAGAAACTGTCTGCCTGTGTGGCCGTCCGCACAAAACTCCATAGCTATAGCAACCTTCCTCCATTTACCCCAGAATGTTAACTCTGGTACCCATTTCCTAGGGGCGTGGTGAACCCCGGGAACTGCCCGGTTTTAAACACCGGCAAGTCGCAGCTGGATTTGAAAGTGAGTCTCCTATCGACTGCGCTAGGGCAGCCCCTTATAGCTGTATCTGTGTTTGAACAATATATCAGGTCTGTATTTTGACACACCATCACCGATTAAGTAATCACTACTTTCTGCCTTTATTGTGCATTTAGTGTCTGTCAGTGTGTGTGCGTTAAGAATGATCATGTGCATATTTGTTTTATGAGCATCAAGATGGGTGAGTGTTTTGACTATTTATCTTTGTGACTAATCAGTTAGCTAATAGATTATCTTCACTGTTCATTAGTCCATTAGTACTTGGATCTATGCCTCAATGTGTATGGCTATAGAGGACATAAGCTCCAGGTTTACTAGTCTTCAAGGATTGTGTGTATCACTTACTGTACCAACAAATCTTGACTGTGTGAGTCGCTCATTGTAACAGCATATCTTTATTGTGTGTGTCACTCTTTGTACCGACATATCATGATTGTGTGTGTCACTCTTTGTACCGACATATCATGATTGTGTGTGTCACTCTTTGTACCGACAAATCTTGACTGCGTGAGTCGCTCATTGTACCAGCATATATTTATTGTGAGTGTCACTCACTGTACCGACATATCATGATTGTGTGTGTAACTTATTGTACCCGCATATCTTGATTGTGTGTATAACTTATTGTACCGACATATCTTGATTGTGTGTGTAACTTATTGTACCGACATATCATGATTGTGTGTGTAACTTATTGTACCCGCATATCTTGATTGTGTGTGTAACTTATTGTACCGACATATCTTGACTGTGTGTGTAACTTATTGTACCCGCATATCTTGATTGTGTGTGTAACTTATTGTACCCGCATATCTTGATTGTGTGTGTGTCACTTATTGTACCGACATATCATGATTGTGTGTGTAACTTATTGTACCCGCATATCTTGATTGTGTGTGTAACTTATTGTACCCGCATATCTTGATTGTGTGTGTAACTTATTGTACCGACATATCATGATTGTGTGTGTCACTTATTTTACTGGCATATCTTGATTGTGTGTGTCACTTATTGTACCGGCATATCTTAATTGTGTGTGTAACTTATTGTACCCGCACATCATGATTGTGTGTGTAACTTATTGTACCCGCACATCTTGATTGTGTGTGTAACTTATTGTACCGACATATCATGATTGTGTGTGTCACTTATTTTACCGGCATATCTTGATTGTGTGTGTCACTTATTTTACTGGCATATCTTGATTGTGTATGTCACTTATTGTACCGGCATATCTTGATTGTGTGTGTCACTTATTTTACCAGCATATCTTGATTGTGTGTGTAACTTATTGTACCGGCATATCTTGATTGTGTGTGTCACTTATTGTACCGACATATCATGATTGTGTGTGTCACTTTTTTTACCGGCATATCTTGATTGTGTGTGTCACTTTTGTACCAACATATTTTGACTTGTGAGTCACTAGCTCTACGGGCATATCTTGATTGTGTATGTCACTTATTGTACCAGCATATCTTGATTGTGTGTGTCACTAGCTGTACCAGCAAATCTTGATTGTGTGTAACTCATTGTACCAGTATATGCTGATTGTGTGTGTCACTTATTCTACCAGTATATGTTGATTGTGTGTGTCACTTATAGTACTGATATATCTTGACTGTGTGAATTACTGATTGTACCTGTATATCTTGATTGTCTGTGTCACTCATTGTACCAGTATATGCTGATTGTGTGTGTCACTAGCTGTACCTGACAAATCTTGATTGTGTGTAACTCATTATACCAGTATATGCTGATTGTGTGTGTCACTTATAGTACCGATATATCTTGACTGTGTGAATTACTGATTGTACCTGTATATCTTGATTGTCTGTGTCGCTCATTGTACCAGTATATGCTGATTGTGTGTGTCACTAGCTGTACCTGACAAATCTTGATTGTGTGTAACTCATTATACCAGTATATGCTGATTGTGTGTGTCACTTATAGTACCGATATATCTTGACTGTGTGAATTACTGATTGTACCTGTATATCTTGATTGTCTGTGTCACTTATTGTACCAGCTCAACTTCAATGTCTATGTTAATCACCTGTATATCTTGATTGTGGACATTGATGAAATGGGCCTTCTTCTCGATCTCTTGACCAACTCTGGGCCCAATATCAGACTTGCCATCAAAAGGGGACACAGTAATAGTCCTGCCTGTATCAAACTTGGGCAAATTGTCAGACAGGCCGCCATCAATATATTTCTGTAAATAGAAGAAAAAACAGTTATGTTATTCAACAGTAAACAAATACATATACTGTGTATGCATAACAGCATGTATGTCACATATACGAGTTAAAAAAAAGTTTATTTAAACATGTTATGGCATAACTTTCTCAATTTAATAGTAACAGTGTTAACTGGTGGATAGATTATTTAAAAAAGGTAAATGGCATTTGCAATTAGTTTTTTTACTCAGTTTTCCGTGGATTAATTTCTTCTTTTTGCTTTTGCCGAAAACCACCGCAGTGTTTGTGTGAAACATGTAGTTTCCTGTCTTTTGCTAGCTGTGTAGCATGTGAAAATGTCATACTGTGTTTCTGTAGACTCTCTTGTACTCCCTCCTCCCATCTCTTTCTTGGTCAGCCTCTTGCCTCTTAGCCTGCTGTTCTCGTTTAGTACGCTCTAGCTGCTGGCTGAAATTGTTCCATTTTAACCATATGACCAAACCATTTGATTCTTTGATGTTCTATGAAATTATTCACTGATACTGTGCCTACCACTGTTCTTAGTTCTTCACTGTTGACTGTCTTTGTTTGTTTTTCTGACCATATTTCTGATACATCTCAGCCCACATGCTGTAATTTGGCATTTATGTTTTGTTTTTTTGGACTAAGTCTGCCACTGATAGCACAAAGTTGGTATCAACAGCTCATTGATCAGCTGGTGGATTTAAAAAACAATCTGGTAGAGGACATGCTAACCGCTGCTATCACTGACAGAATTATATCTATAGCCAGCAGGATTCTGGGGTCCAGAAGCCTCATGCCATTGGGCTCCAGCCAGCATCGGGGAGGGGTTCCCTTATAACCCAATGGCTTTTTGACAGCTAAGCTGCTGTCCAATCTTCCCGTAAGCCTCAGTGACAGAGGTCACAGCTTGGGCAATCTGATACACTTGGTGGTGTTGTGTTTTTTGGCTACACACCAAGGAATGAATCCCATTTAACACTTCACTCTGTGTTTACTGACTACCACTTCATATAGCCTTACAAAATTCAGGCAGAATCTTTATTCATGTCCCTTTCATTAAACCTTTTTATTCAAGTGTTCACAGAGTGAAAGAAAGGCTTCAATGAAAGAGCTGTAGGCTAGAACAATGTCTTTTCTTCGACAGATGTCATCCATTTCTGCAGCAGATATTCAGCCATCCTTTTAGCACTCCCACTGATAAATTAATCAGCCTACTCCTATCTTTAGCTTACTGATCTAATTGAAATGAAAAGCCACAGAAGCCTGTCTGTGGCGGAACTATGGCACAGTTATGTGAAATACACACAAGGAGACCTGTCTGTGGCGGAACTATGGCACAGTTGTGTAAAATACACACAAGGAGACCTGTCTGTGGCGGAACTATGGCACAGTTATGTGAAATACACACAAGGAGACCTGTCTGTGGTGGAACTATGGCACAGTTATGTGAAATACACACAAGGAGACCTGTCTGTGGCAGAACTATGGCACAGTTATGTGAAATACACACAAGGAGACCTGTCTGTGGCGGAACTATGGCACAGTTATGTAAAATACGCACAAGGAGAGAGACAACCTGCATCTGTTCACTTACTTGTCCTCGAAGCATGGGCAGCTTGATTCCTGCATAGACTGGAATGTAGCAACTTGCTACCAGGGCCTGCAGAAATATACATAAACACATACTATCATCATCAGGCTCATCTAATGAATTTGATGACTCCGTCTTATCATTCTAGCCACTGCCTCGTCATCTCAGCAAATCTCACCCATACAGATCTCAGCCTTTCTCTGCACCCATACACATCTCACACCACTACACACCCATACAGATCTCACATCTCTCCACACCCATACACATCTCACACCACTACACACCCATACAGATCTCACATCTCTCCAAACCCATACAAATCTCACACCACTACACACCCATACAGATCTCAGCATCAACCAGGAATTAGTCATCATCTTTTTCTTTGCATTCACTGGCTTAAGATCTAGGGGAAAAGTTCTGGTTGTTCATTCATCTCTGGACTTTAGTCCTGTTCCAGAACCTGAGCGTTGCATGCATATTCATTTCACAGATCTGAGTTATCTGTACACAGGCTACTGGCTCCTCGCTTCTCCAACAGATGCACTAAGACAGGAAGTCCCCAGTTAGTCGACTCTTACAAGTTTTCTGAGGAGGCCATAGGTCCTTTCTTGTGTACCCCACAATGGGCCTGGAGCCAACATGTAGAGGGAATTAGTGTGAATGCCTACGTCGTTGCCTGCCTGTATATTCTATAGATTTTGTCTTTTTCACTGTCACCAGCACTGTGCCATATTCATAGGTAAAGCAGTGACTCCTATTGTGACCAGACTGAGGCTACCGATTGCTTCTGCTACAAGTTTTGTCAGCTGTTATTCTTCTTTATCTGCCTGGCTAGGCTTACCACGTTTCTCCATATGCTTTCACATCTTCTTCGTTTAATTATCTTTATGTTACTATCATGTATATTCATGCCGAATCATTGCTAAACTGGCTTTCTATTCATTTAGTGAATATTCATGCCCTGTTGGTTTCATATAGAGTTCTTAGCAGTACTCATGGAGAGGATAATTTGGCACTGGGAGGTTGGAATTCACTACATTAACTTCAATGATAAATGCAAGGTGTTTCCAGTGTGCTGGGCCTTGAATGATACTGTTTCTGGTGAACAAAAAGGTACTTAGTGTGGATGCAACAAGCAGTGATCGCACACACTCACATCAATCAGCTCATCTCTGGATTCAAAGTCTGACATCAGCTCATTCTCCTTGGTTTCGGCGTTGGTCAGTGACACAAACAACTTCCCCTTGGCAACCTCATGGGCATCTTCGGGCAGGATGTCCTCCACCATGTACCGAAGACTGCGAGTGAAGTTGTAGCCAGGAGTCAAGGCACCCAAGGGCTTCTTCCGGATCTCTTTAGCCAGGTTGTGTATGTGCTCTGCAGACTCCTGTGGGAAACAGACAAGACACTGAATGGGTTTTCCACAATTAAGGCAAACAAATAAATGCCTTTAAGATTCAAAGGGTAACACATTAGGCACACAAGCCAGTCTAACAATCAGCCCTTCCAACCACACATCCTTCATACAGTAACTGCTGCTTTAAAACACAAGAAAATAATTAAAACCCGTACCCCCCTTTTCCACTGATCTCTCCAATGTCTCTCTTCTCATTATGTGGCCGAAAAACAGTGTGTGTCTCTTTCTTATTGTTGTATAGAGAGATCTACTTTCATTAGCCTCTTTCAAGCAATCGTTGTTAGTTACTGGGGCCGTCCGAGATATTGCTAACATTCATCTCAGAAACCACATCTCTGTTGCTTCCAAACATACATACTATGAATACTAAATATAGCAACAAAAGCATGAATGACAAATGCATATTTTCACATCTATATAATCATGTTCCATGCTGTTAAGTCTAAGCTGTCATGTTTTGCCATCTCACAGGCATTACCAAAATCATGGATCCAGTCAGTGTTGTTGTCCCACCCCATCCTCATGGCTAAAACATCCAGGTATTTATCTCTTTAAGTCTCCTCTTTCTCTCTCTCCATCAATCTTGGTAGTTGTTATCAAGTTCTTGCGTCCACTCCTTCTCGTAAGACGTCCGAAAGATAAACATGTACCTACATTAACACAAATTCCCAGTACCAAAAACAAATGCAAGTATTGGCGAACAAATGTATTATGAATAATACATCCTTACTAAGACTTCAAATGTGTTCTTGCTAAAAGATGTTCATCTTAATCAATTTCGTGTTAAGGAGGTTGTATGTGTATAACTCAACAAGAAGTCTAAAGTAAGCTGACCATACATCCAGTATTCACTGGCACAGTCTCCTGTCTGGTACTCACCAACCGCCAACTGTCCTCTTGTATACACATGCAGCAATTAACTACAGCAAATATGATACACTTTAGAGTTATATCTGTAGACCTTGTGTGTTTTTTTTCTCTCTAGATTTCATAGTATCAGAAACTTTCAGTGCCTGAAATGTGCTGACAGAAATTTTCACCATAGCATGTGTTTTGTTGTTGCTGTTCAGTGCAGTTAGAGAGCATTTTTCTTCGTTTGTATCTTGGCCATAATGCTTCAGGTTTTAGGGTCATTGTCGATCATTAATTAACCCTTTCACCTTGGTAACCTATTATTTACAACAACACAAAAAAGGGGGTGGGGTCAAAACTGATGTTCTGGAGATTTCCTTTTTTTCCATTTTTCCATCTCAGGATATTATGGTCACCCCCCCCCCCGACGACGGTGTATGTATTTCCAATGACAACAACCGACAAGTGCCAGTCAGTGCCAGGAATGTAATGTGGAAGTTCAGTGACCGTTGAGTTACAGCAGTTTACCAGGGGACGTCATTGACAAGAGGCAGGGTGAGAGTAACCGGTCACTGACACTGGGAGGAGTTGGTACACTTGGATATGTCAACACTGCAACGTTTGTGTGTATACAGAGCTCACAACTGGATGCTTCCACACATTTCCTGCTGTCACTACACCACACTGATATGGAACTCTTCCGCCCCCCCCCCTTTTTTTTTTCCTCTCTGACGTGTGTGTGTGTGTGAGAGAGAGAGAGAGAGAGAGAGAGAGAGAGAGAGAGAGAGAGAGAGAGAAAGAGAGAGAGAGAGAATTTGTGAAAGTTATCTTTCGTATACCCTGTGATCTCTGCTCCATAATTGTGTACTTCTCTTTGATATCTTTTGGTAACTAAGCCACCACACCCTCGCTCTGGTATTACACATTCTCTTCGACTAAAGACCTGTTAGTGGTAACGAAACTCGGCCTAAGCCAATGAGACTCCCCAACATTGAAACGTTACTGATGTTGTTATATTTCCGGTCTAAGTCAATGACACCCCCAACATTGAAACGTCACTGATGTTATATTTCCGGTTTAAGCCAATGAGACCCCCAACATTGAAACGTCACAGATGTTATATTTCCGGTCTAAGCCAATGAGACTCCCCAACATTAAAACGTCACTAATGTTGTTTTATTTCCGGTCTAAGCCAATGAGACTCCAACATTAAAACGTCACTGATGTTATATTTCCGGTCTAAGCCAATGAGACTCCCCAACATTAAAACGTCACTGATGTTGTTATATTTCCGGTCTAAGCCAATGAGACTCCCCAAAATTAAAACGTCACTGATGTTATATTTCCGGCCTAAGCCAATGAGACTCCCCAACATTAAAACGTCACTGATGTTATATTTCCGGTCTAAGCCAATGAGACTCCCCAACATTAAAACGTCACTGATGTTATATTTCCGGTCTAAGCCAATGAGACCCTCAACATTAAAACGTCACTGATGTTGTTTTATTTCCGGTCTAAGCCAATGAGACTTCCCAACATTAAAACGTCACTGATGTTGTTATATTTCCGGTCTAAGCCAATGAGACTTCCCAACATTAAAACGTCACTGATGTTGTTTTATTTCCGGTCTAAGCCAATGAGACTCCAACATTAAAACGTCACTGATGTTGTTATATTTCCGGTCTAAGCCAATGAGACTCCCCAACATTAAAACGTCACTGATGTTATATTTCCGGTCTAAGCCAATGAGACCCCCAACATTAAAACGTCACTGATGTTGTTATATTTCCAAGAACTATTCAGCAAACGCTACGACTCAGTGTTAAGATGAAGCTGTAAGTGTAAGCGTGATGGCTGGCTGTAAGTGTAAGCGTGCTGCCTGTAAGTGTAAGGGTGACGGCTGGCTGTAAGTGTAAGCGTGAATCACGGCTGGCTGTAAGTGTAAGCATGATGGTAGGCTGTAAGTGTAAGCGTAATGGTAGGCTGTAAGTGTAAGCATGATGGTAGGCTGTAAGTGTAAGCATGATGCTAGGCTGTAAGTGTAAGCGTGATGGTAGGCTGTAAGTGTAAGCGTGATGGTAGGCTGTAAGTGTAAGCGTGATGGTAGGCTGTAAGCGTAAGAGTGAATCACGGCTGGCTGTAAGTGTAAGCGTAAATAACGGCAGGCTGCAAGTGTAAGCATGATAGCAGGCCGTAAGACTGTAAAGGTGGAGTTCCTAACGTTTTGACACATAAATCCATCGTCATAAAATGACAAAAGGTGAAGGGGACAAACAAGGTTACTTGCTTACATTAATTAATAACCGCCAAAATGGGGTAACCAGGTCACGGCTGACATTGCCTATACATTGCCGTCCGTATTGGAGACAGAATGGCTGTTTGAACGTGTCTTCTTCATTTGTGTACGCCGGCTGTCAACTACAGCGGAAAGTTCTGTTTGTTGGTTAAACTCTGGACTGTAGACTGGTTCCATAACTACATTCGCTTTACAGATCTGGATTATGCGTGTGCAGACTGTTAGTTCCTTGCCTCTCAGATAGATGTACTTTGAAGGAAGCCCCCAATTAGGCGACTCACACGATGATATATTTTGGGAACTTATGTTAGGACGTTGTAGGTCACCGACGCCGAAGCCTAGGGGTTCAGTCAGTAAAGGAAGATACACACACATGCATTCAGCAGCAAGGGAAGATATACACACACATGTATTCAGCAGTAAACGGAAAGCTGCATCAGACCACAGAGGAGGATGAGGATAACTAGCAGCAGCAGCAGAAATAGAAAGAATAAAGTGGAAGAAGAAGAAGAAGAAGAAGAGGAAGAAGACGCAATCGATGACTCACTTGTCAATGACACGATAATACTGGGGGGGGGGGGGAACTCCACAACAATGTCAAGGGCAGGAGAGGGGTGTGTTGGGAAAGGGAAGAGGGGGGTGGCGACTAATTATGATAACAGGGGATAGGAGGAGGCAATCGTGATGGAAAAAACCCATTGACACGAACTGGTATGAACAAGATTAATCTTAGGGTGGGGGCGCCATGTACCGGCAGCCAACTTTTGAAGTGACTAAACACAGAGTGGCTGTGGCGACCAAGAACCAGATGCCCCAGTATGCCGCAACAATATAAGCCAACCCATGATGCCATAGTTGGGACCTGAAAGTGAAGCGTCGACGACACATGACTCATTCCCCTCAGGGGTGGCAATACTTCAGCACGTGTCCTACTGGACAGCCTCTACCTGTTCACGTGATCACAAACCGGAAGTGGGACACAACGGAGCCGTGAAGGAGTCAGCACTAATGAAACACATCAATTCTACGCCATCTCCCACACCTGTCTGTTATTGTCACGGCTTCGGTAGATGCCTGGCATTAAGTAGCCCAGATCATGCGCCATGACGTTCCAATTTCCTTCTCCTTTCACCAGGGTCGCGAGCTAGGCGCATGTCAGCCCGGGGTTATTCCTGAGTTGACTGCACTGAACAGGAAGACGATTAACTTCTGACACTCACGTGTTACATAAGGATGCTGAAACCCCCACTAGCCTGGGACTGTTTGGGGAAACCGGTGTCGCGGGAAGATCTAAAGTTGAAGCTCGGATCTTCTTCACTGCACCGGCTTATCCAATATAGCTCGGTATCTCTCCGCTGAATGGCTAGCCGCCAAAGGACGGTCTCAGGATGACCAGGCAAGTCCATGAATACTAAAAGTGAGAAATATCCGTGAAACGAACCTACGACATTCAGTGTATGAGCAGAAAGCCTGAATACCAGTGTGTTCCTGCTAATCTAGAATGAGTTCCTGGATTCACTGTAACTTGAACATGCAGAAGATGTACGACTACTGATCAATGATTATGTTTAAAAAAAAAAACAACGACGGAAAGAGGGCAACAGGTAGAACAACCATAAAGGAGGAAATTATCAAGAGATGGACAAAAAGGCAGTTTGAGACAGTGTACAACCAAGACAAGGGACAGAATATTGGAGATTCATTTCGGCCAACCTTTGCTGTGGAGACAGAACCTGTCCGACTTACTGTTTAATTCACTGATTTAGGAATGCCAGGGCTGACACAGAGACATACTGGTGACATTACAACAAACAAAGGCTCTCTGACAGACACCCATTATGTTCTTCTGTTACCTGGCGGTGAACAAACTGTGGTGTAAGTTACATCATTGTAATCGGCTCATAAGGGTAACTAAATACACACTAGCATGCAGACAAGCGAAATACACAATGCACAATTAAAACAAGAGTGTGAAGGGCAGGTATGACAGGGTAGCTAGACAAAGCTGGAAAATAATTTTTGGTATCTAAGATATAGAGAAAGGCAATTAGGAGTCACCGGGCTTAGTTTTTTTCCCCACCCCCTTTCTACCTGAGGTAGGAAGAACCTCGCAAAACCCACAAGGTTCCTCCCCCCCTCCCCCCCTCCCCCCCCCCCCAAAAAAAAAGTGCATGAAAGAAACGTGTTTCGAGTTAGATGTTGACATATTTCTTACCTCTATCTTATCTGGTGCCGTCACCAGCACGGCCGCCATCAGCGCTCCTGCCGAAGCACCAGCTATCTTCTCCAGACGGTCAACGAACGTGGGTCCTCTCAGGGTCAGAACGGAGATGGCACCCAAGTGGTACATCCCCAAAAACCCGCAGCCACACAGTGAAAGATTCAGAGGACCTAGCATGTCTGAGGGGTTGAACTCGAAGTCTTCAGCGTCAGTTATTACCCTGGTGTCCACGTCAGTCTGATAGTGATCGCCCCGCAAGCTGGGTAGAGAATGCGACCGAAACTTGTTGGAGTGCGCTTCGCTGCTAGACGTTGTCAAACAATGCGAGTCCTCTTCAATGTCAGTTTTACTGGCACTGTGCTGGGATTTCAGCTTCAGGTTCTGCCTAGACTCTTCTTTCTGTGACTCTTTTCTGGGACCAGAGCCAGAACTTGTTGTGGCTACACTTTTGACGACAACGGAGGACTCGGCTTTTGAATTCTTCCTTGATCGTGAATTGGCGTCAGAATTGGTGCAGGTGATTTTACTGCTACTGTTTTCGTGACTGTTGTCAGTTCTGTTGCTGCTTGCCCTGGGGATTAAGTATTCGGTGTCTGGTTCGCTGGAGATTGTCACGATTGTTTTCCTGAACAAAGAAGGGTGTGGGGGAAGGTCTTCTAGTTTCAGACTGTCTTCAGGTTGAGTTTGGGAAGCACGTTTACTAGTGCGGTGGCGACGACGATCACGTCGGTGCTTGGGTCGGGATCTTGATGTGTACTGTGGGCGCTTCTTTGACACTGGAGACGAAGTTGAATCTAATAATGGAACGCTTGGGGAGGTGATTGAAAGGGATGGGTTCGAGGATAATGGGGTCAGCGGAAGTCTAGAGGAAACCTGAGACTGTCCTGATGGTCTGCGATTCTTGTGGGACGGTGAAGGTGTGCGTTCGGATTTTTTCTCAGACTGTGCTGAAGAACATGAAATGCTCCACCGGGCACGATTGTTCTGTGGATTCGACTTCTTGTCTTTGATGTCTGGAGAAGATGATCTGCTACTTTTCTCCTTTTTCCGACGAATAAAGTAAAAGAAAGAACACGAGGTGGTACTCTTCCTAGGTCGACCATCAGCCGAACGTGTCTGACGCCCTTTGACTGATGACTCCACGTCCACACCAGACAGACTAGTTTCTGTCTGCAGGATTCGACTATTCCCGTCAGAGTTCGGCTCTTTTGTCTCTGCCCGTTTAATGGCTGACGAACGGGACGACTGGCCACCGGATCGTGGCATTGGAGGCGGGATTTCGTGCCGTTTGTTCCGGGGACATGTATACGGACAATGGGCTGACTGTATATGACTTGTTTTGACGACAACTACAGCCGTGGGTGTCGTGGCCTGCCTGGCTTCACGGACCAAGATTTGAGTATCAGACTTGTGAGAACGAAGCAGCTGGTTGTTGTGTACTGTTCCTGCAGCTGAACTGTTCTTGTTATGTATGTTTTTATGAACTAACTCCGAGTTTTTTTGTTCAGATCTACAGTGGGAACTGGCAACCTGGCGTGCCGGCTTGATCGACAAATGGACTTTCCTTTCAGCGATCAGCAAGTTTGGGATTTTCTTCTCAGCGATCAGCAAGTTTGGGATTTTCTTCTCAGCGAACAGCAAGTTTGTAACAATGTTATTCCTGGTGCTGGGAGCAGGGGGGATAACTACCTTCTCCAGAGTCATGATGCCACAAGCAAAGAGTCAACCTCAGACTGTCAGAAAAGAAAGTCAAGTTATCAAATAAGTGCGGCTAAATGTGACCAGATTCGACAAACATAAACACTGGGGTGTCATGGGGTCACCATCATAAACACTGGGATGTCATGGGGTCATCGTCATAAACATCGGGGTGTCATGTGGTCATCATAAACACTGGGATGACATGGGGCCAGAATAAAAAATTCTGGGATGTCATAGGGTCATCATAAACACTGTGATGTTATGGGGTCATCATCCTAAACATTGGGAGGTCATGGGGTCATCATCATAAACACTGGGTTGTCATAAGGTCATCATCATAAATACTGGGATACACTGCATGGACTGAGGCATGAGCTAGCAAAGATGCAGCTTAGGGCCTCACAACCAGGAATGCCTCAAAAATTCCAGTTTGTTTTCACGAATGTAATTTTCTTCTAATATATTTTCAATGTACTTTTCTGTGAATAGTCAGTCTGTTAGAGCACTACATAATATAACTGCTGTGGTTGTTGCACACATTTTCTGTATTATTTCTCTCATACTAAATTAAATGGGACTCGTATTTCAGTTATCCGTTCACTGAAAGGGCGTACCGACGTTTAAGTTTTATGAGATTAGCTGGTGTCAGTGAGGTCCGTGGTGTCAGTGAGGTCAGTGCTGTCAGTGAGGTCCGTGCTGTCAGTGAGGTCCGTGCTGTCAGTGAGGTCCGTGGTGTCAGTGAGGTCCTCTGGGCTTTTATGGGGTTTCGATTCTGCTCAAGTCTAAATTCGGTCCTGGTGGGATATCATCAGTGAGAACCATGACGGGGGATGTGAGAACCATGACGGGGGATGTGAGAACCATGACGGGGGATGTGAGAACCATGACGGGGGATGTCGTAACATAAGATGTGCAGCAGAATATCTATCGTATGTGAAATGTGATAACATGTGCAATATCTTCGAAAGAGATCCATTTGGAGATATTATAACGTGTGGTGAAACCCTGAATGAGAACACTCGATGGTGATAAATTAAAATATTGGATATAATGGAAGGAAAACCAGAGCTGGAGGATATGTCATGAAATGAGAAATCGCTGAAGGAAAATCAGAGAAGATGACATAAAATTTGAAATAATGGAAGAAAACCCAGAGATGTAGATTCCATTTCAAGTGAAATCATGGAAGGAAAAACTAGAGATGAAGATGTCATAAAATGAAAAATCCCGGAAGGAAACCTAGAAAAGATGCCATAAAATGGGATATCCCGGAAGAAAACCTAGAAAAGCTGTCATTAAAAAAAAGGATATCCCGGAAGGAAAACCAGATAATGGAGATGCCATTAAAGGTGCCAGGACACAGGGAGAGAATCAGTATGAATGTTATAAGTGAAGTCCCAGCTGGTACTACCGCAGATCGTAATTGCAACAGAAGTGAGCCAGGCAGACTAACGAATTTCTCAGCATGTGAAGTGGAAAATACCCGCTGAGTTGGCCCTGAAGAAGCTGGTTATGTTACCTAACCTCTGTGGCTACAGCCTGTACAGGTAACGCCTGTGTGGTAGCATGCACAGTATCTTACTTAAAGAGCCTTACATGTGTAGGTAATTAATCAATGCCGTTGACTCCCTGGGGGTGTTTACCACAACCTGTAAACGCGGGATCGGTGTGGGTCTAGGGCATGTCAGCCTGCAGTTGCTTGCCGACATCAAAGATGTATCCCTTGTTGCACGACTTAGTCAACTACCGTGTTGGCGGTGTTTTCCTCTGTGGTGGTTGTTTAAATGTTTGGTTTATTCACACGATGACTTTTGCCAATACAAGTGTGTGTATGTGTGTGTGTATGCGTGCGTGAAAGAGATGTACATGTGAACATGCATATATGTGTGTATGTACATATGCTTGTGCAAGTACCATCACGAATCTGTCTGTCCGTCTACTTATATGCAAATTCGTACCTGTTGGTTTGTCCGTCTGCCCCACCGCACATACGTATCTACCTACCTACCTTCTGATGACTCATAGATACCAGCAGAATATAAGAAGAACACAATTCTTACCACTTTTCCCCCTTCAAATTCAGTCTGTGAATTCACCCAGTTAATCTAGGTGGTACTGAAACCATCAACCAGGGCGAGTCAGCCAGATTCAACTCACAGCAAGACACCCACGCCCCTAAAATTAGTAGACACGCAATGAATAGATGCACCTTAGGACTGCAAGTCGAGTTCGAAAATATACACACACAGCAGTTCAGAGAAAACAGTGAATATGCTTCAAAAGTTAAGTGTTCATAATGTGGAATACAGAATGCAACACACCAGAATCCGAATATATACACAACTTCCAAGTTATGATGCACGATCTTCTTAATTTTGAACTGCACGTTGTTGTTAATTTGGAACTGTTTATGTCTTCTAAATTAGGACTGCGTGATATTTGTAAACTAAAACCACCTACTCTATTCATCTTGGCATCTATTTAGCGATAGTCATGAGATATTACGTAAATTCATATAGAGAGCCTTCATCAGCCTTCTAAATGATGACAACAACGTCTTTCTCACCTCACGAGCTGTCTAAATTAGAACTACGTGTTTTCCCGACGTGTAAATGTGAATGAGCTACCCACGCCTTAATTAATGCTAAAGGTGTCTTCTATAACAGGACTGCACGAGCCATCTAAATTAAGAAACGGGAGAAAACAAAGAATGAATATAAGGCTGTTTAAAACAAAAGCGACCAGCTGTAAAGGTTTTGCCAAGAACAGCCAAGACATCTGTGGAATTCTGACCAAGTTTACATTGAGTTCTTCAGGCATAGCGGGGACCACAACGCATATTTGGCAAATTGAATGGTTCAGGGTGGCAAAGAAAACACACGGTTTGGTCTGGGCTAAGCGCCTTAAAATATGGGACACTTCTGTGTAGAAAACGTCACATGCAGCACCAACCAACAAGGGAAATGTCTCCAAGATTCGGCACAGTCGACTACTAGAACCGACACAAGCAATTTACCCACCCATAACGGTGACTAAAAAGGTACAGGATTACAGGAGACACTATAGAGACACGTCCTTTTCATTTCCTATCCGCCACGAAGGAAATGACAGTTGTCCAATGTGAATGACATAATTACATATACAACAATAAGACAAGAACTTCTTCTTCTTAAGAACTTACCACACACGCACAAATCTCCCCTGAGTATATAATTACGTGGGGAAAAACAAGCCACACACAAATGAAATCCTCTCGCAGTGGCTGTCCTACTTCCCGATGGACACGCCAACCGGAAATGAACCGGGGATGAGCCCCGAGAAAAGACAATGAAACACTGTTCCTTGTTTGTATTCTCACAACAGTATCATCTTAGTGATGACGTGCAAGTATTTCAGAGACCGGTGAACTGAGGACAACGGTGAACTGAGGACACCGGCCTGTGCGCGCGGGCTGAAACTAGTTTTCTGTCTACCTTAGCCCGAAACTGACTGTAGACGGGGTGATCTGCTAAGACAAGGTTTAAAAACGCTGCCAACTCTATTCTCGTTTGGTGAATCATTGGCGACCGAAATAACAAAGGGATTTCAAGAACTTAACACACTAGAAGTAAAAGACATCCTAGAAAATATGCATTTAATGTTCCCTTCCTGTCAATCAATACACTGACAGGAAATGCCTCGTTAATCGGCACCACACAAAAGATTGTCAGATACTGGCCATGTCTCTCTACACAACTAAACCAACAATCCACAAGACCATGAAAGTAGACGCTTCTGCAATAGCACCAGTCAGTTCAGCATGTATGTAGTAGAGCTACGAACGTGCGATAGTTTGTGTACCTTTCCCGCGACACAATCAGCAGGTGATAACTGCAGGCAGGATTGAGCGCCACTCCCTTCTCTAGACAGTCTGCAAGGGGACCCGGTGGACAACCATACATAGACTTTTTTTTTTTAAATACCTGATTTTTACTTTTCACATTATTTTAAATATATTATTCACTTATTTTGCGTTTATCATATTATTATTATTATTGCGCACTTAAAAAAGTTGTACGTCCTTAAAACACCGTCCCTATAAAATTATGAGGGGGATTGAGTGTTCCCCCCCCCCCAGGGGGGGGGGGGGGGTTGGGGCATGTTTTGATAGCGAGATGTCGCTGAGACCAGATGTAGAACTTCTTTGCTATGGCCGCCTGTAAACTCCCTCGGAAGGTTCTTGTTATTCGTCCACTCCTGGACTTTGCTCTTGTTCCAGACACTTGAGTTTTGTGTGCCCATTCCTTTTACAGATCTGGCTTATTTGTAGGCAGACTGTTGGTTCCTTGCGTCTCAGGCAGATGTATTCTGCCTATGAAGGAAATACCTATAATTGGACGCCTCCTACGACAGGATTGTTGGGGGAGGGGAGCAGTGGGTCCATTCTTTGTCCTCCGGAGCCCACACGGGGAAGACATAGAGCAAGAAGCATCTGACTGGCGACTACAACAGAATGTATCTATCGACACACAATATGTCACAGAAACTGCTGAGAGAGTGTGCAATGAGCGGAAGACAGGCAACCACCATGACAAAGAAGAATGCAAGGATCAAGGAGAAAGCAGTAACAATGAATCTATCAGAAGCGCGGGAAGAACGCACCTGAATGAAACAATAGACAGCAGTCATGTAACAATAACGACATCAACCTATGTGACCTTTGGGGTCATACATAAAGGGTGATGAAGCTAATCGGGTAAGTCGTATACTACAAAAGAATGGAAAACAACAGCAACAACATCAAAGAAACATTAACAAACCACGTGTCGAAAAGGTATCAATCACAATGTGTACGCTACGTCGGCAAAAGTCCTGCCAAGACACCATTTTGTCATGTCCATCTTGAGATGAAGCGGTGTCCGGATGCACCATCAGGAACCAAGTCTCCTTTACTGTTGCTCTCTGTCGTCAGCAACGCGCCCAGGTCCAACTGTTGAAGGCTTCAATCTGAAGCAACGCGCCCA